TGGGATGGAACTCATGCTGTGTAAATATCACTTGCTCTCTAAAAAACATGAGATGGCATCAGGAAAAAAGAAAGATCATTTTCAAAAAGAGAAAATCGAAAGGTTAGACTCACAAAGATGGTAATGTATAAAAAGACACAAATGTAGGTAAACCTGCAACCTGATTTCAAGGAACAGATACCGTTATTTATATGTAACGTTTCCAAACCCCCCTACACTGAGCATTCAGTGAATAATATAATAATGCACGGTAAATACTTGTGGAAATGTATTATTTCAATGTTGCTGTTTTTTACAGATTTCAATATTGTTACCAGCCTCAAACTCAAATACTGTCAGTGGTGTCAAGTAACTAAGTAGATTTACATAAGTAATGTACTTAAGTAAAATGTTGAGGAGCTTGTACTTCATTTGAGAAATTAAATGTTGTGCTACTTTGTACTTCTACTCCAATACAATTCAGAGGTAAATATTGTACTTTTACTCCACACATTCCTGTGTAAAGGTGTACTACTTTAATTTGCAGGTATAGATGAATGATTAACATTTACATTGTTATTTAATGATGATATTATTAATGAAATACTCTGGTATTTTACTTTTACTTAAGTACAAGAGCTGAGTACTTCTCCCATCTCTGAATATCGTTTAGGATTATTCGCGCATCAATGCAAAGGTACTTAGGTGCATCTAGATCAGGGGTCACAAACTCAAGGCCCGGGGGCCAAATCCGGCCCGCAACTTTATTTTATGTGGCCCCGCAAGAGCTTGCAAAGAATATAATAAGTTTGACCATAAACTACATGTCCCACAAGGCATCTCGTTTTGTGACATGCTGAATGTCAAGAGACTTGCAATTATTTGCCCAGGACTTCTGCTTTCAGACGTAGTTAATTACTAAGTTATTATCCTATCCGATAATAATCCAATTCAGAGGCAATAATGTAATAGAATACATTATTTTATATATATATTATATATTTATATAGTTACAAACGGCCCTTTGAGTGCAACCTTTATGCGAATGTGGTCCGCGATGAAATTGAGTTTGACACCCCTGATCTGATGTAAAAAGGCTCAATAACACTCATAATATAGTAGCAGGTAAATACAACAATATGCCATGCGGGTGCAGGTTTAATGTGGCCATCTCCATTGTGTTTGGGCATGTCTGCTCCAACATGTGCTGTTTAGGAGTAGACAAACACTCCCTGGCAGCACCACCACCTCCACCCTCACACAGCTGTAGCTGGGTTGGCTGGAGAAAGACAATCAGGGAACAGTGCCATGTACGGACGATGCATTGGGGGCCAGCTTAAATAAATGGTGTGCTGTACTAATTCTCCGGGAAAAAGAAAAACAGTGAATGTGATATTGGGATAACAATACATTGATTTTTTTTATGTCAGCCTTTATTAAAGACTACGTTTTTTCATAAAATCACTAATTTGTACATATTGTTTTCGGGAGGTCCATTGAGGATTTGAATTTAACTCGAAACTCAAATGATTAAATTAAAATTTTAAATTGTAAAGTGTCTGTTGTATGATGGACACGCATAATGTACACTGCCCTCATGTATGTATATTTATATTGTGTATTCAATATACATATATACACTCAATAGATATATATCCTTCATGATATGTATATATTCACTGTTTTGTGTATGTTGTTTATCTTCCACTGCTGATGTGTATTATAAATGTTTTTTACTTCTAATTCATGTCCCATGCCTTTTCTACATGCTGCTGTGATGAAAACAATTCACAAATTGGGATCAATAATTAATATATTAGCTTATCTTATTAGATACAACCCTTTTAAGGGAACAATTTAGCTTTTTTTTCAACTTATCAAATATTATATGTGCTTATATTGACGTCATATATCTTGCACTCTAAATAAATGCTGTCACATATAGCAGTTTTTTACGTTCTAGAACAAATAAAGGAGAAGAGTTTTTTTCGAGCGTGTTTCATGTGCCTATTAAGATGTACAATGGTGTCAGCGTGTCACTTCTATCTACATACTAATTCCGCATTAAACAAGCTTTGAGCTAAAGTAGTCACCGCACAAGCAGATGGTCGAAATGACATTTACTTCACCGAGTCTGCTCTGTCTACAAAACTGCACACTCACTCAATTCAAACGCATGCACACACAAAATATTTATACAAATCCCGGTGCCAATTTCAAGCATGTCATAAACAAATCAATCAAACTGCTGCATTTTTTATAACATAACAAATATGTTATACTGACATTTTAGCATATGGTCACCAAAATATCAAGGGCCGGTTACTGTGAAACAGCAGTATTGACAGCTCCTATTTCCTGTTAGTCGTAGTTTTTATTCAAAGTAACTTATTTGTTACACACACACCCGTATATATCCACTGGTTCTCACAGCGAGTTGGCAGCTGGAAGGCCTGCTGGCAGGTGCTCCGATGCAATCAACCCGTCACTTGAGCATGATACCGCCTGTCCATTTGTGCTCACCTCGTATCACATTCAAATGGCATTCAAAGCTGTTTCCAATGTAATTCTGGCTCCCAGCAGCTAACACAAACCACTTACACTATGACACAGTTGAAGGTTGAAAGATGTGCTGCCAAGTTAAACAAACTTTTTTTGAGGCCATGTGATTGTCCTTTTGTTAAACCACTAAATGAAAAAAATTCAACTAAAAACCTTGGATAAAATGTTAAGTGACACTAATTTGGTCACGGCAATTCAATGAGTTTAATGAAATGCCATTTCTGCTCGGACAACACTCCCACCAGTTGGTGTGACTGTCATTAAGAGGGAACATTTACATATCCCTGTCTGTTATCAACATATTCAATACAGCTGGCTTTAGCTAAACCACTAGAGGGAGAAATAAGCTGTGTATACCACAAAAGAGTCAGGTATTCAATATGTTTAAAGAAAGGTTCATTTTTTAGTCCAGAATTTAAATGTATTTTCAGCACATGCCTTCAAATTATGAGGCTTTTTCAGTCTACATAATTTTATTTTACTGGCCAATTCATCTCAAAAAGCGATGAATGCTCCTTGGTGGCTTTTACAATGTGTGTTCAGCTGGAAGAGGCTGATGCTGTGGGCTTATCAAAAACCAGTTGATGCAAGGCACCAGGAGGCAAGACGGAAAGAGGGATAAAATCCATGCTTCTGCTCAACTAACCATCTAACCTAATTACCTGTGGATAGGACTTATGGGCCTCATGTTGGGTTCAAAGTGTCCGGATCAGGAAGTGGCTTGGGAGGGAGCTTTGGTGTATGTGTGTGCATTTATGCATGTGTGTGTGTGTGTGTGTGGCTGGTCAATGTGTCCGTGACAAAAAGATTAGGCTGAGAGACGAGCCTTGGTGCCGGATATTGGCTCTGTGCCATTAGTTCAATCAAGCAGATTTATTTAGCTTTTAGACAATTCGACCAGAAGCCTGGAGATACCACTTCAGAAAATAAGCTAAAGATTATTCATGGCATGGCAGCTAAGATAGGGATCTGTTGTCACTCCCTAGCATGTGCACGTCCGCTCACTCACTAACTACATCATTCATTTTCCCTAGGAGTAAGCAGACTGTTTAGAAAACACAGGGACACAATAATGCATCGAACAAGCAGTAAATCAAACACAGAGGTCAGCGAAACAAGTGGAAACATAAAGACTGCCATGTAGCATGTATAAATTAGCCTAAACATAAAATGCTACGAGATGTGCCACTCTAATCCCAACCTTAACCCAAGCCCATAACCCAAAGTGCTTTCTGTTTTAACAACCAGAGAATCGTCTCGAGTAATTACAGATCACCTAATTTTACCACTCAGAAGTGCTGTTGACATTACAATAAATGAGTCTTATCTTTGAATACTCTGAGTGGTTTTATATTCCATCAGTTTTTCAGTATGTTTACATCTAGACTGTAACAAAATATGCAAATTGAGAAGGATACATTTAGCATTTATATCATGATCTATCTTTATCTCTTCATCTCCATTTGTTCTCTTCGCACCTTTTTGCGTGTAGAAGAAAACATGGCTTCACTACCATTGATTAACCTGATCTGCTGATACAAGGTGTGAAAGAAACAATCAAATGTAGGACTCTGAAGCCCCGGCCACACAAGGACGATAACGGTCATATCTGCTACAGTTCACTATCAGATAGACGGTTCGGCCTCACAAGGCCGACATGGAAACGCAGAAAACGATAACGATAACGGGTCCCTAGGTGGGTAGATCTGCAAACGAAACACTCTGGATGGGGCAAACGGCTCTGTGTTTACGCCTATACGACCATTTCCTGATATTGAAGCAATAGCCCCGCCTCTCCCCACCTCTCCTGCTCAGAGATCAGCTGCTGGGCTGTCAGAAGAGGGGGAGGAAAAGAGAGGCTCCGTTTTTTATTCTTATATTATTACTGTATATAGAGTCGTTATCCATTTGTTTTAAAACTCAATAAATAACAAAGAAGACCTCTGACCGGCACTTTTCAAATTTTGTCCGGAAGATTTAAACTTTAACCGACATGTTGACTGGCGAAGAAAAATCGAACTGAAACTATGCTGCACGGTTCCCTCGTCCCTTGGAAGAGGCGGAGAGGTGGGTGTTTTTCATCTGCTGGTGGACTACCGGAGAGAATTACAGCAGGAGCAAACGTTTGCCTCGGGGAGGGAGAAAAAAACAGCGGAGAATAAACAGAAGGGCAACCATGAGCGGGAAGTCTTCTTTGCTGCTTTTGTGGCAGGACTACAGCGCCACATACAGGCCTGGCATATGTACTACAGCATCTCCAGCGCTTTCGAGCGGTCTCGTGTGAACGGACACGTTTCTGGTGCCTGTTGCGTGTGGACGGAAGACTTTTTTGATAACGATTGCAGTCTGTTTGCGTTATCGTCCTCGTGTGGCTCCAGCCTGAATGTCTTACTTTCATTTGCATAGCTCTGTTATGATCGGCTCGTTGGCCACAACAGAAAAACCAGGAGAGACGCTGAAAGTTTCCAACAATCTCCGCACTTTATTCGGAAACACCAAAAAACAGCAGAGTGTGGACGAGGGGAAAGGATCACAGTCAGTTCCTCCGCAGCAGGCTTGGAGAGAGTCAAGACGGCCCTGTGACTCCGGGCAGCTGGGCTTAAGTAGCACCTCCGACCAGGTGTCCCCGATCACGCTGATTGGCCTCCTTCAGCTCCACCCCATCGCAGGACCTGCAACATTCACACACACTCACAGGCCCCAGGCTCTGGGGCCGCCCCAGGCTCTGGGGCCGTCACAGCCCCCCCCATAAAGTCAGGGTCCCCATCGGAACCCTGGCACCCCAAATCAAACACTCTTATGTCACCTACACAAATGAGAAGAAAGACCCTGACAAACACTGGAAGGGATCGGCTACCTAAACACCCTAACACAGTATTGAGCTACTAATCCACGACTAGTTCAGCTAACTAGTGTGTTACGTGTTTGTTTGTTTTTTCCGCCATGTCACGGAACCTGGAATGTACCCCAACTTGGTAAAGAGGTTCACCAGCAAAATGCTCCCACTGAGGTACCCAGTATCCCATCCGAACATTCTCCCGAAGCGAACACGCGTGAGCACGACCCTTCACCCCCACACCAGGAAGAACACCCTCCCTCAGACCTTTTAGAGACGCATCAGCACACTGTGCCTCCACCAGCTCACCGTGAGAAACCGACCAGGGAATCTCGAGACACGTCACCTCATGCTGCGGTGAGGCATCATTGATTTTAGCTAAGCTCATGTTCCCCGCCTGCTCACGTCTCATAGCCCGTGTCACGGCGCATGCTGTAAACACGTCAGGGTACTCCGTTTCGCTCTTGTCTGGCTTAATACTAACCAGCGGCACTGGCGCCACGATAGCAGGCGGTGCCCCATCAGCCCACACCCGACTACCCGCAATGTCGTTACCCAGGATCATCGTGACCCCTTTTATGGGCAGAGCCGGCCGCACGCCAACCGCTACTTCACCCTGAAACAGATCCAAAAACAGCATCATTTTATGGAGGGGGACCTGCATAACATTCAACCCCATTCTCAGCACCGGAACAAACAACCCCATGTGCGTGTCCTCTGAAAACGGCAAAGCAGACGCTAAAATTAACGAATCAAATGATCCAGTGTCTCGTAATATTTGTACCCGCACCTTCTCATCGTTCCCCACCAGAGAAACAAAACCTTCAGTCATGAAAGGCAAATAAGACTGTAGTTCTGGGCTAGACCCCTGTGGTTTCAACTCACCGTCTAAACACCCAGTCACCTGCTCAGCGACAGGTGCCACGAACATTGCTGGCCTGGGACTACCACTAGTCCCTTCCTGTTCAGCTTTAGCCCTAAATGCATTGCAGTCTTTTCTCCAGTGCCCTCGCTCATGACAGTAATGACACACATTGTCAGGCTCACGTGCCCCACGTACATACCCACTGTCTTGCCCAGCAGGTCTCACTGGACGACCAGACCACGCTCCCATACCCGAGGAATTTCCACCGTGACTGCCTTGTATGGCAGCATCTCCACCAACGTGTGTCAGAACATAGACATCTGCTAACGCAGCAGCTTCAGCAGCTGTCCTGACTGCATGCTCACTGATGTACACTGCAATGTGCTCCGGTACAGAATTTTTTAATTGCTCCAAAATAACGAGATCCCTCAACGCCCTGTGAGAATCAACGTCGGTTGCCGCACACCAGCGATCGAAATGAGTGGAAATATCCCGAGCAAATTCAAGGTGAGATTTATCACCTCTCTTCCAATTCCTAAACCGCTGACGATAAGCTTCAGGCACCAGCTCGTAAGCCCTGAGAACGGCAGATTTAACTAAATCATAGCGCAAATAGTCACTGCCACTTAAAGATGAATAAGCCTCCTGAGCCCTCCCGGTTAACACACACTGTAACAACAACACGCGAGTGACCTCAGACCACCCCCTTACACCTGCGAGACGATAAAACATTGAGAAAAAAAAATCCGGATCCTTCTCATTAAACCTGGGAACCAACTTCGCATCATTTAAGTCGTCCACTGACCTCCCTGGGGCCCCGCTTTGACTAGCTGAATAATCAGGAAACAGGACATCAGCCGCTACTTTGCCCTCTCTAATTAATTCCAGTTTCTCCCTCTGAAACTCCAACTTAGCCTGCTCAGTTTCCTGCCTCAATTTCTCCAAGGACACCGCTCTTTCCAGCTCAATGCCCTGTTGCATCTTCTCCAAGGCCAACTCCTTTTCCGTCTCCAACTCTAAGCGTAATCTGAGTAACTCCTTCTGATGCTCGAAACTCAAAACCGCACTTTGACCCGCCATTTCTTTTGTGCGCCCGGGGACAGGAGTATCAAACACTTTGCTTTTCAACAAACAAGCCCTCAAATTCGCTTTCACCGACTCTTTCACTCTTTTATCGCCAACTTCAAACCCATAATACTGAGCTATGTTCACCAATTGATCCTTGGTGCACTGATCCAACAAACCTTCAGAAGGTGCAGCCACAAACGCCCCCACAATATCCTCCATATTACCCAATAATAGCTATTTACACAGAGGAAATGCAATTTCTTAACCCACCTGTGCACACAGTAGGAATGAGCAGCCCCGCTAGCTGACTTCCTAATCACAAACTTACTACATAACTCCTCCCCTAGTCTTCATGAGGCGGGTATTTATGCACTTAAAGCCCGCTGGACCGAGAGAGGCGACCAGGTAATCGGCAACCCCCCTGAACCACGGAAGTGCTCCCGAGCAAGTTTAGGGAAAAGGGAAAGTGAAGCTCTAACCGCCGTACCTCAACACTATCAAAGCCCCCCCCAGACGAAACCCAAAGGGGAAACGCCTCTTGAACCTACCAGGGGAAACACTCCTACAGGTATTGTATACACAGGCGGGACCACTACCTCCTATTTTTCAGCGACTATTTAAGAGACCAGATCACCGCTATCGGACAAAAATACATCTCATAAAATCCCACAAACCTGGGACCATACGCGTTCCAAAATAACGCCTAGGCACCCGTAGAGTGCATCCACAACACCATATAAGGCCACATACATACTGTCCTCAGAGGGAATCCCCTCAAAAAAACTCAGGCTACCAACTAGCCACGAACACAGGCTAATTCAGGCACAGCTAACGCCAAAACAATCCAACCAACTCCCGGTTCATACTCACGATAGACGAGCCCCCAGTTGTTATGATCGGCTCGTTGGCCACAACAGAAAAACCAGGAGAGACGCTCAAAGTTTCCAACAATCTCCGCACTTTATTCGGAAACACCAAAAAACAGCAGAGTGTGGACGAGGGGAAAGGATCACAGTCAGTTCCTCCGCAGCAGGCTTGGAGAGAGTCAAGACGGCCCTGTGACTCCGGGCAGCTGGGCTTAAGTAGCACCTCCGGCCAGGTGTCCCCGATCACGCCGATTGGCCTCCTTCAGCTCCACCCCATCGCAGGACCTGCAACATTCACACACACTCACAGGCCCCAGGCTCTGGGGCCGTCACAGCTCTTGTTGGGGATCGGTTAAGTACTGGTAGACAAGTATTTTTCCATTTTTCATTATTTGATCTAGTTTCTACCAGTGAAGAAAAAATATTTTACAGGCAAGTCTGACGGCCCGTACACACAGCAGCTTTTGGCGATTTGTCCACCGCTTCCAGCGCGTCTCCGCCCATTGACTTTGAATGGGGATGACGTCACTTTCCCTCGCTTGTCGCCGAACTGCATTGTGGGGGGGCGAGGCGAAGATTTCCAGGATTTCCAGGATGTTCAGGATTCCAAAGTTGAACAATGTTCAACTTGTGAGGCTGAGCTGGAAGCGACAGCCAATCAGATCCGTTTATGCAAATCTGACAGTTCAAGCGCTAGCCAATCAAACCGCGTGCAAGCTGGGAGAACCAGACCGCAGTTCATTTCTATATTCCTAACAAAAATGGAGGAGAAGTTAGTTATTGCGGTAGCAAATCACCCGGTTCTTTATGACCAGTCCCTATTTACTTACCGGGATACAAACCGGAGGAACCAGGCATGGAGGGAGGTGGCAGAGACAGTGGGTGAAACTGGTAGGTTTTCGCTTGTTTGGGGATTTTATATCCAGTTTACTTCGTTGCTAGTTTACTTCGTTGCTAGCAAGCATAGACAGTATCACTAGCCAGCATGGAATGTAGCATAAAATAGCACCATAAACATTAATCTCATAAATGTTTAAAGAAATAGTGGAGAAGAACCGGGGTTTTTTGCTTTGTATGTCGGGGGCGGGAGATTCATGTGATTGGTTGTTGGTCGCGAAATCCCCAAGCTTTCAGACACGCCCAGCTCCAAGATTTTCAAGATTTTTGAAAAGCTGCTGTGTGGACGTACCGTGATGCTTAGATCAGATGCAGATATCTATACAAATAATTTTTTTCTGATAGTGTAAGGAATTGAGAACAGGTTATTTCACCAAAGCAGTAGTCAACCATTAACTTAACTCAAATGTCTTTGTCTATTTATTTTTGCCGCAGGTAGTTCCATGAAAGCAGCCCTGAAAGCTTGACTGCCATCCAGTTGCCTGAAGTAAAAATACGCTTGTGTTCATATCAGAGGGTGACATATGTTCTCTTCAATCATCACATAAAAGACTTCGGAAAAGAAACAGCAAGAGAGCTATTGCTTTACTACTTAATATGTCACTGGTAATAGTTTAAACACTTAATGATCAGAATATAATGTTGCTGATGCAGAATGTCAGGTACAAATTGCGTATGGGTTCTTGTAAACAAAACACTATACAACGAGAAAGTGCACAAGGCCAATGCACTCCAAAGCAAAATGGGTTAGACAATGGCCCCTGGTAAATGGTAAATGGACTGTACTTATATAGCGCTTTATCCAGTCTTCAAGACCCCTCAAAGCGCTTTACATACTACATGTTATTCACCCATTCATACAGAGCAGTGTACCTTACTCTAGGACAGTGCTTCTCAAAGTGTGGTCCGCGGACCACTGGTGGTCCGTGAGCGCCCCCTAGTGGTCCGTGAGTATATTGGTAACATTTCACATTTGAAATAAATAAATTTATTTAAGTTTTTCGCACTCTCGCGGGAATATCTCCGCAATGGAACGAGCTTAAGTTTCACTTTCGATTGCATGATATAGCCCAGATAAGCACCTTCATCACACATGTTGCCACTTGTTTGTACAATTTTCAGGCGATTTGTAAAAAACGATGTGTTTTTGGATATTTGTGGAGTTAGGTGGTCCGCGAGTGTTTTTTTATTGGTTAAGTGGTCCTTGGTATGAAAAAGTTTGAGAAACACTGCTCTAGGACTAGGCCTGTCACGATAATTAATTTTGTTGGACGATACATTTTCCTGGAAATTATTGCAATAAACGATAATATTGTCGGCACCGTTGTAAGACCATCATTTTCACCAATTTAAATCAGAGTAAACAGCTCTGTGCAATGCTATGCAAACAGTGAAGCTTTAGTTTTCCAAACCATTCTCTTTCTGAGAAGTGCGGTAGATGACATATCTTCTTACGTGTTGCCTTTATAAATTAAGAAAAATAATTGCTACTGAGTGTGTATACTCTTGTGCATTGACCTCTGCCCCGTTGAAGCCATAGAAGACTTCACAAGAACAAAACACATCAACCAGAATTTAAAGAGGCTTTAGGAAACTATGTCGGGCATCACACCATTTTGGAATAGTACACATTAACATTCGATACAGACATTTATGGTCGCCAGAGGATACATTGAGATAACTTCAGTAATCCCCTTTATAGTGACCTTTTCTCTAGCACTACAATGAGCTTGACCTTTTTGGTTTTGAATTCAAATCTTGGCAACCACCGAATGGATTGGCACAAAATCTGGCACAGATAACTCCCAGAAAACTGACTCCGATAACTTTGTATGCAGCTCCTCAACGTCACAATGTGAACACGTTAGCATGAGGGCATTAGCAATAACTTTAAGCACAGTTGTACCTAAGCAAAGCCTCATAGAGCTGCTGTCAACTTTTATGTTTTAAGAATAACAGCTGCTAACATGAGTACAGTTCTCAAACAACAAAGATAAGGGGAAAGCTACAAAAGTTTCTTAAAACACAAGCTGTGAAGAACATAAGACAGTAGTACCAAATTGGCACTTTGGCATCTTTTGCTGAAACTACATTTTTCTCGCAATTACCCCATTTTGTTTGGCCTACTTACTCTGCCCCAGCTAAATATTATAGGATGTAATGAGACTGCCAGTACCCATGTTGGGTTTTACAGTTGTGTGGAAATGAAACTTAACAAGCAATTTCTGCCAACTATAAGATAGTGGATGACTTTAGCATTTACATCTATAATATCTAACACCAGACATCCACACACATGCCTGAGCAGTAAGTGTTTCAGATAAGTGAAACCTTTGAGACTTCATAAGCCCTTCATATCAAGCCCTAGCACATTGTGTACATATCCATGTAAGAATATTTACCCAGTGATTTCGAGAAGGCTATGCAATATGTGGGAGGCACTCATAGCATGAGCTGGAGCTGCCAATGGACCTGGTCACACTTCAGTAGGTGGCTGAAGAAGCACAGGCACTGGGCTACACAGAAGTCATTTTTCAGCACTTATATTCAATTATAATTGTGCTGTATATAAGTGCTTGATATATATAAAAAGATATACTGTCAGTGTCATACGATGTCAGTCAATCATTGCAAAGACTGCACAAAAAAAAAATGTAGGTTCAACTGAATATTATTGCTTTCAACTAACCTAATCGATGGATAGATAGATAAGTACTTTATTGATCCCAAATTGGGAAATGTTTGCTTTGCATTAGCATAAAAAACAAGGAAATGTACATAAACAGTCCAAAATATTTCTGAAATAGAAATAAAATAGCATTAAAAAGTTAAAAATAAAATATATACAAGTGGAAAACATATATGTGGAAATACAAATGTCAGTAACAATACAGTTATGTGACATTTGTTGACACAATAAACGTAATAAGTCAACGGTTTAAGTTTTCTCAGTGTGATGGATATAAAGTTTATCATTAGAGGACCCATTTAAGGGATTATGTCCATCCAACTACAGTATGTAAAGCCGAAAACTTTTTTTTAAATGTGCGTTCCTGATACTCCAGACATTATATGGAGTTTGTGTGAGAAAACGGCTAAACATTGGACAGTATATATATTTTCCTCATACAGTACATGTTTACCTATGTCTTTTAAGAAAAGCTCTTGTTTGTGTTTCTGCTTTATTTACTGATTTTCTGTCAGGTACTACTGAGAACATAGTTGTCAACATTTTATAAAAACTGAATATTGACATGCTGTTAACCATATACCTCTCAATGGAATCAAATGTGAATGCAGCATCTTAATAGCCATTTTCATCTAAAATGTCTCCAAAAAGCTGTGTGCATCAGCTCAGATGTACAGTGAGCATTCTGCATCGTCATCATTTGAGCTGTAGTGTGTCATCTGTGTGTTCTCCAGGTGGTGCTGAGTCATGGTTCATGCTCAATGGTTTCCTGGAGCTTTAAGGCGGGAGGTGTGTGTGTGTGTGTGTGTGTGTGTGTGTGTGTGTGTGTGTGTGTGTGTGTGTGTGTGTGTGTGTGTGTGTGTGTGTGTGTGTGTGTGTGTGTGTGTGTGTGTGTGTGTGTGCATGCGTGAGGAGGGGGATTTTGGTGCACCGACAACCCAATGTTAAGAAAAATGTCAGATGAAGATGAAAAGGGTTATTTTGGTTGAAAGCAGTTTTGTATTCCCTTTAAAAGCCTATCAGATGAGTGCTGAAATTTGACAGCGTCATTTTGTTTCTCATTTGGCTATGACATGCCGAGACACAAGGTCTGTCACTTTGGGGCTGAAGTCTGCTTCTGTGGACCGCAACTTAAATATGCTCAAATAAGTAGCATTTTGTAAACCTTTATGCTAACAGGAATTCTAGGACCACATTGAAACGTAAATCCATTATTAATTCTGAATGAAATTACAGCTTTCACTTAATTTCTCATTTTCATTTCTAGTTAATATGAAAAATTAAAATGACATCCCTATTTGATGCTGACCAAAAATGATAGTAACAAAAAAGGAATAACTTTGAATAGAGTCAAAACATTGTGATATACATATTAGATAACATCATGGTTGCGTAAAATGAGGTTAATATCACCACAGGGAACATTAGACACACAAAATATACCATTTACATTATTCCACTGATATAAACATGTTTTATACTCCAGCTCATTTCAATTGTTACGAGGAAGGAAATGCTCTTGTCCCATTTGTGAGAAATCAAGGACACACAATTCCTAATGGTTAATTTAAACATAACTTTGGTCTGTTTACAAGAAAATTCCACAGTGCCTGTTTAATTTATTGCTCTCATACAATTTTAGAATGATCTTGCTTATCATGCTAAAATGCAGTATTTCTCAAAGCATTCCCCTGGATCTTGCTTGCGATGTTTTGCCACGCTCCTATCCTTTAAACCATTTATTCCATGCCAATCCGTAGGACATACATATGGCTATACCAATACATATTTCCTATCCATCTGGGAAATAAACCCTTCTTTGAATCATGATTCCTACCAGAGTGGTCTTCCACATGGAATTCCCTGAAGACCAGATTGCAGTTTACAAGGCTGAAGTGGAGGCGTGAAGGTGGAGGCGTCCACCTCCACACCGGTTTGATGGTGAGACTGCTGCAAATTACTCATGACACTTCCTCTGATGACATTTTTCAACCTTTTCCCTGTTGAATGGCATCTCCAGACCCCCACCATCCCCCCTACCATCCATCCACCACCAACACCCCAACACACACATTAATCCCCCCCTCTATTCGTGTGACAATAGCACAGCAGAGATTGCTGCCTCCTGCCTTCACCTGATTGACCCTTTGAGCAGGTGCTGGATCTGATCCAATCACAGTCAATCTTCTTTAAACATTTCATTCTTTAAGCAGAACAGGGGCTCAAAATTCCATCATTCAATGACCCGATCAGTCGCCGATAACACAATCAAGCCAATCCCGGCTTATCCCGAGGGAGCCATTTCAGGAGGGACAGCTGGGAGATGAGAATACAGACCTACAGAAAGGTGTCAATCTCCACTGATCCACAGCTCACTGTGAACCGCCTATACAGCACAGCATCTAGGTGTTGGAGGAGGCCTTCTGACAGACATTTCCAAGGATCAGCAACAGGCAAAAATCCATCTTTTTTAAAAGGTCTGATCCTTTAAGTAAAATCAGTAACCTGCAGTAAAGGCACTGGCATAGAAAGGCATGCTTCGTCCATAAAATGACTATTATATAGCAATGAACCACCCCACTTACACTTTGAAGAAACAACTTGGTGTTTCTCTCATGCCTCCATGCGTGTAAAATAAAGAATACAAAAATTGGAGAAAGATAAAAAAAAAAGAGATAAAGAATCAGAAATGGGTCAGTGTTTACCAGCAGTCCTTAGTTATCCAGGAATGTATGAGTCAATACCAACACCAGTTAAATTCCATGATTATAAATGCCAATTGAATACTAAGGGGGAAAACATTTTAACAGCCCATATACTTTCACATACACTCCTTAATTACCTGTTGCGCAATAGCTTTAGTTAGGAAGTTTAAAATGTCATAATTGCCTTTAAAATATCAATATCAGTGAAATGATCTACAATATTGTGCAGCCCCTATACATGTAGATATTGAGTTTAATGCGTCTCAAAGAAAATGTTCTGTAGCCCCAGAAATGACGGCAGACCCTTAGCCTCTAGCACTGACAATATCTACGGTACTTGAGAAAAACTGAGTAGCAAAAAATGGGAATACAATTGTTGTTTTTGTGACTTCATAATCCCAAACACATGCATTTTTGCTGAAACTTTACTATTAAAACCAGGTAATGCGCCTGCTCAAGTCTGAGACTGTTTATGTTTTAAATAGTAACATAAATGTTGATAAACGCGGCCCCATTTTCTTTAATTGATCTAGACTTTTCTGTTTTTTTATAATTTGTTCACTGTGCAAGAATGCAAGAAAATTAGTGTTTTCTTGACAAATAGGTAATACAGGGTGATGTATTGATTTATAAATGGTTATTTAATGGCTGAAGTATTCCTTTAACACTCACCCTCTCTTATTTTAAAGACAGACACGCACAGAAAAAAAATGATGTGAATAGTACAGCTCAATTCTTCAGTGGCCATTTAAAAGCTACTCTATTGGAAATGTTGCTGGGCCACTGGGCAAATAAAGGTCAAGGGGGATATGAAATAGTTTGTCTAACTGGCCCTTTCTCTCTGTGTGTCCCTGCAGCACTGAGGCCGTATCCACATTCATAGCCAATTCATTTATATTGCTCTGCCCTTCTCACGGCTAGTCTCAGTCACTAACTACAAGTGACTGCAATGAGATTGAAGCCTCTGGCTAAATCTCCACTGCAAGGCACATGCTCCATCATTGCTGCTCTGATCACTCCTTATAATCACTGGGGCCACACTATATCCTCCACTGATTGGCTGAGTCGCAGCAGAGAGGAAACAATCACAGAATGTCAGCAAATGATGGACACGGAGACGTTGGAGTAGTAGTGGTCACTGGGAGCTGCCATGTAAATGGCATGCAAATGTGCACCTGCACTAGCATAGGAAGTGGAATGAAGGACTGTGGCCTTTTGATTAGCTTCTTTCCGCGTTTTTGCTTGAAAGTGTATTTTTTATGCATCAATCAGCCAGGTTGGCTATTTATAGACAATGAACATGACGCAATTGTGTACTTAGGGTTTTTGCTTTCTTCAGAAATTCATATCCTCAGTCCGAAGTGCATTTAAAGTGCACTTCACAGTTTCCAGAAGAGGTGTAAGAAAATAGTTTGTTTTCTATAATTTCTCAAGAAAAAAAAGCATATTAACATGTAATAATTTAATCTGTCAATATTTTAATATGTAAAGATATGCACCCTGTATGTGTATGTGCCTATTCAATGGAGAGCTTTGATGTTGGATGTTAAAAAGACTGTGATAAATGCAAATCACTGTTCCCATAGTTTTCCTCCAATTGTTAGCATATGGTGGTGTGTTCTTTATGACAGGTTTCCTTCAATCTATCAACAAAACATATCGGAATTGATATTGATTTTATATTGCTAGATTCTTGGCAACATACATTCATAGTATCTAGTTTAACAGTCCCTATAAGTGCCTTATTGCATTGTCATTGAAGGTATAAAATGTAATTCTGTAATCAAACTGATAACACCATCATTGATTTAGTAGCACCTTGTAAGGTATGATATTAAAAGTAGGTTAAATCCACATTCTCGAATAAGACAAAACTACTTATTTAAATGAAAAACACAAATTATGACACTAATTTCACTGATGTCCTTTTCTAAAGTGTACTTGGATATATTGTCCTTTAAAGATCAGTATCCACAGAACATATTTTACAGTAATAATCACCACAGGTGTCATTTGCCATTGAGCCAGTTTTGTTTTCCCTAAATGTGTTAAGGCCTAAGCACTTGGAAAGGTATGCAAAATGAATTAATACAGTCTTGGTCATGGTCACAGGGCTATTTCTCTGCCATTTAGAAAATCTAAGGGTACGCAAAATGTCAGCCGTGGTATTAGATTACCAAAGGCCCAGAACAAATTCAAGGCACTAACCAAGGATCTTTTTTTCCATTGCTTTTGTTATTTCCTCTCATCTGTTACTCTCAGTGAAAGTATGAGAGAACGTATGCAGACGCTCATCTCTTCTCTGACAATGATCACTGTCCAACAGCTCGCTACTATCGATATCTGTCCGACGTCCTCCAACAGGTGTCATCGCTCTTTGCTTTCCAACATTGAGACCATTGTCTCATCTTAGGACTCTGCTTTGCCTGTCGAAGCGGTGACCTTTTGTGTCTACCTTGCATCCCTCCTGAGCCCAGTGGCAGTGAACTGGTTAAGCTCCTCCTCATCCTCCTCCCATTCAGCTCCACCTCCAGGATCTGGCTCTGGACCAGTGGAGCATGAGCACCAGGACAGCCTGGACATAAAGGGACCATTGTGGCAGCCCAGTGACATGGAAGCAAGTATCTCTGATTAAACTAAGTCAGCTTCGGGCTTGCACACTGCAGCCGATGGACAGTAGTGCGGGGACGGAGTCAGTGAGCTGGAGTTGTTTCAGCTTAGCCCAACAAGGGCATTATGAGGTGCACTCAAAAGCTGATTACAATAAACCAATGAGGAAGCATTAGCAACCGCAGCTAATTATGCCTTCGACTGCCTTTTCATGCCTGGGCAGGGCTCTGCTGGTACGTCAGATCCAAAATAAAAGGTGTCATCACACTAAGTCCCATCTCTTCAGGCTCCGCATCGGCAGCCCTCTCCCTCGGTGTGGAGCTGTCAAACTCGACCCTAACGCCGCTTACAGCCGGCCAACTAAAAGTTGTTTTCCGTTCACGTTGTCATTTTTAGACTCCTTCACTTCTTTGCTTGTGAATCCAAAAGCTGTGACGCTTGGCTGTTTTCGCTTTGCCATATTTTTTATTACAAAGCCAGAGTTAAAAAAATATCAATATGAACATTTCAAATACCGCGCCGGCATCGCCACCGTAACCATATCAACGCAAGTAGCGTAAAGAATGCAGCGCCGCCACGTACAGATGGCAACACCCAGAAATATTCACAAATATAAAACAAATATTCAGAAACTGTAATGAACAATAACTATTATTTATTTCAAGAACTGTTATTTACAGAAACTCAACATTTCTAATCTGTGTGACACAAATATTCACGATTGTTTTGGGCTCCCCCTATTTATTACAAAGTCGGCTTTCAGGGGAGCTCCCTCCCTCTTCGGGGGAGCTTGGCTCCCCCTGGCTCCCCCCCCCCATTTCGAACAGTGAACTGTATTAAACAGTTAAAAACAAACGACAAACAGTACCACACACACTCAGATGGCCATATTATCTATAATGGCTGAAAAACATATGCCAAAAGCTTCCGTTATTTATTTTGGTCTCTCGGCTCTCATGTCTATTGGTTTATTAAAAACAGCGGGGATCAGCTGCTGAACTGCTGTTGTCTTTTGCCGGGCTCCAGTGATTGGCAAATCTGAGTGATGCCTTCTGATATGATTTAGCATGTTTGGCGTGTGTTTCCATTAGCATACCGCACCGCTATCGAACAACGCCGACACACCGTCCTCGTCTGATCCACCACTCGCACACTTCATCGTTATTGTAGTCCACAGGGAACCCGAAATGTTCCCACACAGCTGATTTAAAAGAAGCAGGTGGGTTCTAGCTTCTGTGTTTTAACTGAAATCGCCATACTAACTTTTCTTCTTCTTGTATTTTGTTGTTGTGTTTCTTCTTGTTCTTCATTTGTTGTTTAAGGGCGGCTGGCAAACAGCTTTTAGGCGCAATACCGCCCCCTGGATTATATATAGTGTAGTGGATACTGCCCTGAATGACAGACTTTTTTCCGAATCGTAAAAAAAAGGCGTATTCGTCGTGTGACTGCATGTGCCGAACCGTGACGTCCGAACCGTGACAATACGGGACGAATACGGATACCGTTACACCCCTAGTGGCTACTATTAGGCAGGTAATGGGATCCATCTGAGATGCATTAGAATCAGTCAAACAGAACCACACTTCAGTTCCGTTCAAACGACTGTCACAATCACTTCAAATGCACACCATAGGCATGTACTGTAGGCGAGTGAAAAGGAGAGAAAATGGCTGTTGGAGGAAGTTGTGCCG